CACTTCTGATGATATAATTAACGCTCATTAGTGAAACATAAAACGTAAAGCTAAGCAGGCATTCATTGAAATGGTAACGTGAGAGAACTTCCAAGGTCCGTGCTGTTTCATAATCATCAGCCTCATGGGATGCTCATGTCTTCACAAATTCTTCTGCCACTTTGTTTGGCCATTGTTCATTAATACTAAATTAGAATCACAACAAAATACCGAAACATAAATTAATATTATGATTTCAAGGCGACTGAATGTAAAACCTGACGATGAAACAGGTGTTTGGCCAAAGATACGGACACATAATAAGCATTATTTAAGAATAATTTGATTTCAATATATTATACCCAATTGGTAACGGTTCATCTAATCCCCAAAAAGGCCTCTCCTAAGCGATAACCTGCCGTGCCGCCGAAATACTTGTAACATTACGAAAAAATTTATTAGTTAGACTTGAGTCACTCAACTGACTATCACCAACTGTTTTAAAATTATCTCCAATCTAGTCTTCCACTGTCTAGGAACTGATTCATAGATGAAATTAAGTATTTCAAGGACCAATCCGTTTCTAAGTAACAGCACGTTGTAACGAACGTGACTGCACCGTGCCAATGACAATATTTCTCCCTAAATTTTGTTTGTAACTTTGATTTGTTTGATGATTAATTAGTCACAATAATTATGACCTGTCTGCACCGAACTGGCTTGTATTTCAAGATGTTTAATTTTATTACCGTCCTACTATCATGAAATGTTAAGTAGCAGAAATGGTAATAATAAATTAGCACTGAAACTTGTGAATTGGTCAAAAGACCTCCTAACAAGCAGTGAAATGAGCGATCGGCAACACGTCGGCTCGCTCCGGTACGTGTAGGTAATAAAAGACGACAATTTTTCCAGTTTCGCAAGAGCCGCCGTCGGGAGCGACCGGTTCTGTCACAGGTGCCGCCAGTCAATGGGCTATTTTGTGACACAGTCTGCGACTACGTACTTAAGTCGATAATATCAAATCTGAAAGTAAACTCGCCGGAGATTAATAGCGTTTGCCGATCGTTTATCTGAAAAATGTGAATGCCACGCACTACACTATTAAAAGCTTCTTTGTCTTGTTGTACTACTGAATAAACAACTATCGATGAGTAGTCACTAACATTTTAGGTGTAAACGATTTCTTTTAATGCAAGTCTATTCTCAAGCGCCCATAATAAGAGAACCATTCACAAATTCAACAAAGCTACCCAAAAACATGACCAGACTACAATAAAACAAAAAAAAACCGATCACGAAAATCGAGTTGAGCTTACGCAGTGCGGCGCGCGGCGGGCGTACCTGCGCCGGCGCAGGCGCGCCCCGCCCCCCTCGCGCCCGCGTGCCCCCGCCTGCGCGGCGCGACACGGCGCCGGCGCCAGTCAGCCGACAAGCAATTATGGCTAAATAAATATCGGCCATGCCGCCGCCTCCGACGCGTCGCTAACATCAACAGATGGATTCTCATACTGCTATCTAGACGACATCATTAAATTTTGGACCCCACTTGTAATGGCCCGGTGAAATGGCGTGTGGGCACCAAATTACTTGTAAATGGTAGTTAGAATTCTTCGTTAATGTTTGTCCGTCGTGGATGTGGGTTTAATTGCCGGATGTGGGTGACTGATTTCCGTAATGGGTATGAGATGACAGGCCGGTGGATAGTCACGGCGAACGTGCCGAAGCGATCGCGAGTTCGTGGCAATCTTTGATCCTGTGAGTCGGCGGCGTCGCGTCGACGCCTGCGCTCGATAAGATAAGAGCCCCTCTCCTCCCACCAGCAGGCGTTCGAAAACTGCCGGCTCGCATAAAAACATTCACAAATAGAGGCCCGCGCGGCTTGATTGCTAGTGATTGGCGACCACGCGCCCCAAACTCGCTGTACGATTGATCTGCGTGAATAAATTGGATGCTTGCAATCTAGACTGGACAAGGATTTCCTGTTCATCTTGTTCGTCTAAAAAAAGAACGTCTCGACGGACAAAACAAAAAAGTGATGAATCAAATCGAGCAGGTGTACGACAATAAACATATCGATGATTAAATTTACGATGAGCCGTAATACGATCTGCGAGATCGTAAAACTGAAATAATTACCCGTATTTACTGAGGTTTATTGAAGAGGTTCATTGCAACGAAAGTTGACTAGAGAATGTTAATCAAATGTTTACGTAGACTGAAAATATTAATTAGCAGTAGAATGAAATTAGAACCAGACCAAAACACAAGCAAGCGGGAACTGTTGATTGTTGCGTCGGTTGGCAATGTGCACACAAATCAAATGTGCGAGGAATAATGGCGACTATATTTAGTGAGCACGCTGTGGGAACAAGACGGGAAAGTGAACAAAAACAGTGGCGTCGCGAACTCGTCGCGACAGACCACGGAAAAAAGTTCACCTGCATTGGTAGCGTCTGTGGTGACGACCTAATGGAGCCAGGTGGCACGATGGCGGCTCCAACCTACAGCGCACCATCTTGTAATTACGCCGACAAAAGAAATGAAAACAAACGAAGATGAAATGTGGAATGTTACTGCAACTGATCGGTTTCTAAACAACAACATTTCACGGATGTTATCCAAATCGGAAACAATAGCGATTACTTTGTTTTTGTTTAGATTTCAAAGTATTTTATTTAAAGTCTTTGGAATGACAAAAGCGCAGACATTCCAAATTCTTTAGTTTTTTGGATACTTTAGTCCTTCCCTGGTTAATTATGGCTCCAAAATCAAAGATACTGGTGTTACGGAATACTTTAGCAAATTACATAACCTGGAATGCCTATGAGAAACTTCTTTGGCCAATTTGATGTCCATTTATGGCGATCCTGTAGCGAAAGTGAACGGCAAAAGGATTAGACATTTGGATATCACGTTGGTCATGTTTTCGATGTAACTTCGAAAAACACATTTAGGAGTTGCTAATGAAGTAGTTCTGAAATAACCGAAATTGTTTCTGGCACTGATCGTAGAAACAATTTTGGTTAACTATCAAATTATTGTTTCTGTAAAGAGATCAGAATGTCTAAATAACAGCAAATTCTGCAATCTACAAAAGTCTAGAGGAGTGTTAGAAATGTAGGAACATGCAATGAATTGCCAAGATTTGTTCCAATCAAATACGCCTTCCGTCCTAAGTTGTGGTTCTAAGCTCCCAAGTACTAACCACAGCTCTGTCCTCATAAGGAAACATAAATATTCATATTTTTACTTGGCTTTCTTCTTAATTAATATGCTAACAGGCATTGTCAGTACACCCACGAACAGTGAGAAGTATAAAGTGGGCGTCGATCTTAAGTAGGCGACGCGACTTGCGCGTGAGTCGATGTCATGGTCACTCATTAGTTTGGAAACATGAGTGAATCTCTGATACTTCACTTGCCCGTTATGGTGTATTTTTATTTGGATGTTATTGACAAAAATGACGGGTTGCGAATTTGGAATGGAAATATTTGGAGAGTTTTGGACGTTTGGAGACTTTGGTACAAAGTGGAATGACTGTGACAACAAACTAATTAATAGAAAATATCTGATGATTTAGTCAGTACCTACGTCATATTAATAGAAATCTACACATTTATGCATTTATAGCAATAAGTAGAAGATAGGTATTTTAAAACTACAAAGTGATAATACAAAACAATATTCTAGAAACAAGAAAAATAAGATCACGCCAATTGGACCAAAATGAGTAAAAAATCGCAAATAATTATAAACGATAAGAGAAGCACAAGAAACGAGTTTTAGTCACATCTAAATTAAGATGCGATTAGGTAAAAGAAAATTAACATAAATTATAAGTAAAGTGACATCAGAGAAGTGATTGTCAGTCTCGACGTGGAAACGAGGCGAAAACATGATCGAGACCAAATATCTGCGATGATATCATGGAAGGGTCATTTGTACGACCTCAGGAAGCGCCGGGCGGCGGAATGTAGCTATTTACCTAACAAAGGCGGTAGCGCCATTGCCTGACGAATTAAAAAGTTAACGGGCTGCGCGCGCCGAGCGTCGCGGCACGCCGGCGCCGGCGACTCGACCTTGTCTAGTTATCGCGAACGGGTGACCCTCGCCACGGCAGATTAGGCGAGCTGCTTTTTACACACCCCGACTACGCAACTCACGCCGGAGGGAATCTTAATCACGAACAAAAATACGATCAGAACACTTTTACTTTCCGACTCTACCTACATCGAAAGTGCAAACACGTTCAGACAATCGATCAAAATACCAATCCCAATAACGAAGTCATTATTCGTTAATGGAACAGTAACGTCTGTTAAACAATTTAACGCCGAAGGAAAGTTGACCTTTGAAATTTCATACAACAAATCCAAGAAACTACTGCTGATGTCACAGCTATAAATAGATCGCCGAAGTCTAATGTTTACACTAACAATCTAATGTAGGGATGGTGTTATATATCGTACTTGTGTCAAATGCCGGTGGAGTATGTGACCGGAGCAGCCTGACGTCACTGGCAACGTAACTATAGATACAGAAACAAACAGTAGCGATAATACACTGATAACGAATCGCACTGATAAATAGGTGCAACCCGCGTGAACTCTCTACGTAACTATAAATTGTATAGTTTCTCAAAAAACCTCAACTCCACGATCCAGAGATAAGTTCCATGAATACTGTAACACATTCCAGAACACTTGACAAACAAGTAACGACACTTCAAGCAGAATTAATGAACACTATCTAGGTTATGTTAGGTTAGAAAAGGTTAGGTCGAATTAGAAACGTTTCGACGGCCGAAAACTTCCAACAAACTCGTCTCCAGCGACGTTCTTGATTCAAACCACAATCGGCGGCAACCATTCATTCGTTTGATCTTCCATTCACACAAACTGTTCGAGCGAACACATTCAAAACACGGCATAGAACACTGAGCCCAAGATTCGTACGACATCGATGTTTACTTGATGCACTTGTTGCGCGGGTCAACGTCCTGATCACGTCACACATACCGGGCTTGCAGAGACGGCTCCAGTGGTACGGGTTGCAGCACTGCTGGTCAGCGCACAGGGGAAGGCGGCGAAGTTCGCTGGAGTCTTTTAGGTCGGGGAACCTGGAGAGGCGGGTGACTGCAAGTCGGAGTTGTGAGGCGGCGTGACCGGCCGGCACGCACTCCCCGCCGACGGCGCCCGCGTCCAACGCCCTCGCGAGCCGCCGCAGCTGGTCGTCGGACAAGGAAGGCGCGCCGGCCGCCTCCAGCCGCCGCCGCAGCGCGCGTCTCCGGAACATCACATGCCGACGACGGGGTCACAAGTCGCGCGGCCGTTCGCGCCACGCGACACACTCACGCTGGCGGCACGTCATCGCTCGCCGCGTGCGGGCACTCGACTGACGGACACTACGTTCCGCCGGCTAGTGCAGTGACGCGGCCTGGTGTGCAACACCTGAATACAATTTACCCTGATTCTAATACCCCATTTATTATTTTCTTAATACTTTAATAAAAGAGATTTGTCTTCAACAAGGCCATTTTGACAAAATTAAATCAGGAACATAATTTGGCATAAAAATAGAAACAAATAACTTGAGTACCTACTCTATTGCATAATCCAGGAATAATTTAAAATATTTTGTTTGTAATACTTTTAATAAACGCGAACTACCACAATCAATACTATCTCGTGATATTATTCTCATTTTATTTTTATCTAATCGCAATAATCAGGCAAAAATATAATCTTGTGAACAACGTGGCTTTATTAAAAGGTTTAAAGTATCATTGAGATAATAAAAACTTTGAAATTTGTGAGAAAATACTATAAATGAAATAAATTGTGTGCATTTCAATTAAAAAATATCTCAGTAAAATCACCGACAACTTTCATGACAAATCTCCCCATTTTTTTTAACAAATCAATTCTCCCACAAATCAGGGAGCCGGTTGCTAACGTCTATCAGGAGCGGGTATGCGGGGCGCGGGGGCGGGGCCGTGCGGCTGGCGCCACCGGCGGCGTCAGGTGCGCGCGCGTGTGTGCGTGCGGCGCCACCGAACACAGACAAGCGCCTAGCCAACCGTATAGAAGCGACGCGGAATGTGAGGTTAATAGAAAACGGGATTAACCATCTGTGAGGCAGTGAAAGAATAGTACGCACAAGTGAATTCCACACAACAATGTAGCGAATAGTGATAGCCAAGTAATCAATTCTAAACAATACATTTTAGAATTTAGACAAGCATTTAATAAAGATAACCTCAAGAAATGATCATCATGAGTCGGTTAGGAAGGTTCCACATACCTTCAAAGATGTGTAAGGAAAGATTTTCAACCTATCAATAAATTAACCCACGATTTATAGCGCGTTATCAACAAATCATTATTATTTTAGAATTATCAACAAATAATTATTATTTTAGAATAGGAGTACCGCAAGGGTCTTATATTGGACCTTCAGTAATTTTAAAAAGTACTATAAAAAAACGAGTAGAATAAATAAAAGACTATCCGCATGATTTGCTTAATCTATGACCGCTCATGGTTCGGAATGCGCAGAGCTAAAAGACACATCAACAAAATAAACGTACAAGATAACTAGCAGCGTGCCGCGGCGCCGCTCACCTTCATGCTGAAGCAACTGGGAGATAGGCAGACATCTAACAGTGATGGATTAACCATGCAGTAAAAGGGCGCTGAGTAGTAAGGCACTTCTAACAAGCCCCATTTCCCACTAAGCGTATATAAGATTGAAGGTAACTCGATAGAATAATCTTAATTTGCCTCTAAGATCTAATGATCAAACGTTTAAATAGTTTCCTAAAATGTCATCTTCACCTGCAACTTGTGAACTCGATAAAACCAATGATCGACACACGTATGCAAATTGAAAGATATAGTTTGTTCAGGTTTCCCAGCCCACCTGCCTTTTAGATTAGTTACAAGTAACAGATGTAATTCACATTAGCAGCTGCAGAAGAGATAAATGTTAATAAATACCAAATCGTACAGCGCATGCGTCACTTTTTAGACAAACTTTTAGACTTAAAGTTTTGGAGTTGTTTTAGGAAGTAACTAAAAAATCAGAATTTGCAACTAGAAAATTGTGGTAGTGCAATAAATACTTAGAATATAATATAGGTGTTTATTTGTATATCAATGGCATGTGCTGATGCCTTGTACCTACAAGTTGGCCAGGGATTTTAAGTGCGTTACACGTCAATTTCAGCATTATAAACAACATTTTTTCTATTCATAAGAATTTCCGTGAAAAAATACCAATGTTAAAAGTTTTACTCAAAATACTTCAGCCAGAGATAGTTTTACTACTTTGTATTGTATATTTTCAGAATGCTATCTACACGTGGAGTTTCTCACCTTGCCTTGAAAGACTCGATGACAGATAGCATTCATTCATTCATACTTCAAAGTGCTCAAAAAAGAAGTCCAAGGAAAACATTTCTAAGTGAATGGCTTCGAAAGTTGAAATCACATCTGAGCAAGTTATGTGAACAGTTTCTGGTAGATGGCGCTAACTGTCTACGTGTTGGAAAATTATAATTAGGAAAAGTTCAAAGTCAAGAAAATCAATCAACAACATTAACTGTCATAGTTTTAAAAGGAGTGGATAGAAAATAGAATCTTCTATCTCTAGTCCTACAACATGAACATTGATTCCATTTTCATTCACGATGTATAAACATAACTATCAAACTAATCTTCTAAAAAGTACTTTAAGTAAAACGTCTTGTCTGTCATTATGTTTGAGCAAAAATATCTTTACGACAGCAATGAAACTTACATAATCGTATCTTACTTAGTAAATATTGTGATGATCGCATGATACCTACGTAAAAAACTTGTCATCCACTTTTTATGACTCGACATGCTTGAATGGAATCTATTTGTTTGTTTTTTCTCTTTTCTTTTGCGATCATATTATCATTCGTTCTGCTTTTTGTTCTACTTCGATAAGAACATTGCATTCTTCACAATCATCAGTACTTTTGTTTTCATCTACTTTGATAAATTAAATGGAATCGTTAATTTTATCGTTAGCATTGATATTGAAGCAATTAGTAATTGTTGACCTAATTAGTTAAGGAGTTGAGGTGACTGCTGACAACTTGTTACGGTTGGAGCTGTTTTTATGAATGAACCGACAGTTATGACGTGTTTTTAAGTAAAGTGTCTTCGCTCTGAGATTTCGTTAACGTTCTGAACTGTATCATCGACATCAAATATATGATTATCAAAGTTTCTAGGTTCTATCCGATACTACTCTCGTCTAGAGTTGACTGTTTAGACTTTAGGGAAACTAGAAAGCACAGAGATAATATAAAAGAAAGGATCACGACCAAGACTCCAACAAGATGATCGAATGAAATCAAGAATATTAAAGGGCTCTGAGGCATATCAAAGGCATATACTCCTAAAAGGCTATTTCATACAACTTGGAGGAGTAGCAACGTATATAAAAATTAAGAAAATACTAAATGGAGTATTAAATTATGATAGATAAATTATATTACAGTTGGTACAATTGAATAGGTATACGCCTAACCACCGAAAAAAAATTCAGTGTATCTTTGATTTAGACTGCCCTATCGGAGATCAAGAACTTTGAAGGCTCTATTTTTACAACAATAGGCACCATCAACAATTTTAATTCAACAAATTATAGTTTAGAGAAAAACATCTTAAAAAAACTCTCAATAATACGGATACTCGTATTTATTTAAATGTCAACATGTTATTGCGTATCACGGAACTGGTGGGGCGTTTAAGCTGTTATTGTTCCAAGTACGGAACCTGACGTCACAGTACTGACTGCCGACGGACTGGCGGAGAGGATGACCGATTGTAAGCAGCTCTGATTGGACATTGCGTGCTATAAGGGGTAAACATTGAATACTATTTAATTGATGTCCAAACGTGTTTGACTTGAATTCAAATTTTGTTTGGAGAAACCCTGGGTTTTGGTTAGGCTCTTTAAATGTGTAAATATCTATGTTTTTCTGTCTAGTTTATAATTCAAATTTAGGCATCACTGTCTGTCTTGTCTTGGTTTATTGACATTACTACTTCTAACTTTCTAGGTTTCATAAAGTGGCTAAATTGAAGATCTATTTTATTTACTTTTTTCTGTGTAGTAGAAAGCTCGTTCCCTGTCACTTGGTGCTAAAGGACTGTGCTTTTTTTATGGATTAGGAGGCAAACGAGCGGACGGATCACCTAATGCTAAACGATCAGTGCCGCCCATGGACACCCTCAACACCAGAGAAGTCACAGGTGCGTCGCTGGCCTTTTAAAAACGATTTTTTTTTAAGGTAGGAAAATCATCAAATGACTGCTCCCGCCTGGATTAGGCGGGAGGGAGTGTCATACTCTTACTGATTAAAAACCACCACGTTCCTTCTCCTGCACTTTGAATCGGAGCCTCGATAACCCGATAGGTTCTCCGCGACTTTAAAAAAAAGGAATACGCTCTTTTTCTTAATGGTTTGAAGGTCGTATCGGTTCGGAAATACCGCCGACGACAGGTGCTTTATGAATACTTCAATAGCTTAATGGTCGGCCACCATCTCGCCTGGTGGTGAGCGCTTATTGCGAGTGTTAACCTTGGCTAGTATAAAAAATTGTTATTTATACTTCTGGGGTAAAAATACCTACCCTTGTATAATTTCCTATAGTAAAAAAATTGCTCCATATTAGGTTTTTAAGTAAAGTTTCGATACACGGGTGTGCAAGTGTAAATAAAACTATTATTTTTTAACAATAAGTCCACCTCAAATAAATCGCAATATTTTTCTAGTTTTCAAAAACAGTTCATACCCTTGTGTACCCAATACAGAAATGCTGAAAACACATACATAATGCACCAAGAGAAAACTGACGCCTCTTCAAAAATATAGAAACTCTAAAGCTCTCAATTAATTCTAGAACGTACTTATATTCAATGCAACTAAAAATGTCCATTCTATGTTAAATGCAATTTGTGCAGACAAGTGCTGCATTGTCTTGTTTCACAATAACACATGAATTCATTTTAACAGTTTCCTTGGCGCCACCCGCGTATTAAAGTTAAATAAACATCATTACAAGTCAACATTACCTACACTTTAATAAACTTGTTTACATCTTATACCAAAAACAAGAATTTCCACAATTATGCCTGAGAATATTTTAATTTACCAATGGGAAGGCGCCAAAACTAACATAAAGGAAATATTAGCATAAGCTTAGAGATTTATATCAACATTGCATTTTAAATAGATGTCGGCGCCATCTTTTATTATACAAGCTGTAATAAAATTAATTTTAAAGCAAGCAACAAGGATAGGCAACGGATTAAAATAAAAAGCTGACAGAATCAACTGTTTTTATTTTGTCTGTCGT